TACATGACATATGCAAATTGCTGGCAAAAGTTCAGTGAGGTTTCTGCTACTTCATATTAACTGCTCATTAAAAGCTACTGCTGATGAAATTGTCAGCAGGAGGAAATTATTTTTGTCTCTATCCTGAGATCAGATGATTACAGATGGAAAGTACTGTAACCTTGAAGATAAAGAGAGAAATTTTGTCACTGTATTCAGAAACATATTATGACAAAGTTGGTTTCAGATAGCATTTTTGACAGAATTCCATATGTGAAGTTAATGACAATGTCTAAGGTGTGGGAGTCATGGGATAAGTTGTCTCTGATCATTAAAAACAAAGGGCATGAAGAAGAGAAAAATTAGTGCTAGTCAGAAGTGGACTGTACTGTGTGAGAGGGGCTGTAAATAATGATGAACAATGCAACTCTCTACACAGATTTCAGTCACTTAAAGACAAATAATGGGATTGTACAGACTGAGATATATAAAAAGATATTAGGAAATATAACTTAAAAATTTTACTCAAGGAGTCAAAAAGAACATTTATTTATTTAGCTTGGCTATTTGAATATCTAGAGGATTAGTAACAGACAGCAAAAAAAAACACTTATGAACCTCAGTTAAGATATTTGCTATGTGACAACTACAATGCAATGTAAAGATATTAGCATGCAGTTGTAGTTTAACAAGTTGTAACTATGCATTACTTAAACGTATTAATTCTAGCAACAATATAATCTATATTTTACTTTAAAAGATGAAATTATATTTCTGCATGCTGCTACAGTATTACTGGGTTATGAACATTTTGTGAGCCCTCCTCCCCAAATCCATACACAACACCTCTTCTCCAGATATGTATCTCTAATACTCCATTAATGTTAATGAGAATTGCATATGTATGTGTCCAGAAGAGAACATACATTCTCTGCCCTATCTATGCCCTTTCTACATAATCTTGCCACTGTTAGTATGAGACCCTTCTCCTCCGCAGCTCTTATCATGTGGAGCAAGCTTTAGATATTTCTCTGCTTTATTTCAGCTTTAGTCACACTTCAGGTTTAACCTCCTTTGCTTATAGCTTTTAATTTCTTTCTCCATTATTTTTATTTTAAACTTTGGATATATACTTCTCCATTTTACTTCAATGGGACAAACTGCCCAAATAAAAATTTTCAGGATCGGGTCCAAGAATGGTAAAGGTCAACTGATGTCCATGAGATTACTTTTTTGAATACGGATTTGTAGGGTCAGCATCCAATTCTCAAGTGGTTGGGTACCAATTTTTATGAAAAAATGGTATAATAAATAAAGTAGTATTGTATTATAACTTAGCTCTTTCAGTGTGGTTCCTGAGGTCCTGTATGTCTCAGAGTTTCCACAAAAGAATGGACAAAATATCAGTGTTCCCCTTCAGCAATTCTGAAAAATGTTATGTTATGAGAGATTGTGAAACATAGGCTTGAACAAATCAATGCAACTGTTATTTATGTGTGGCATTAAGAATAGCACTGAGTGGGGAGGTGATTTTTTGTTTTTATTTTTTTCCTTTTCTCCCTGAGATGTGTGCATCTCTTTGGATTTGTGTAGCTTTTCAACAGCTGTAGGAATCTGAAAGAGATAGTAGGGTTATTTAACTTTTAAAATCCCATTAAACATCATGTCAAGTATCAGGGGGTAGCCGTGTTAGTCTGTATCTACA